ACTCAGTTCGGAGTACCAATTAATGGATTGAAAATGTATATAGACTGATAAGAATAATTACGTATTTTTCAGAATTATTTTATTTGAACCCTAAACCGTATAAATATATACATACAAGCTCTCCTATATCGGAAAAATACTAAGGGTCGAAGACGATTCTCTGCTCGCTCAACACTTCTTCTCCTTTTCCGTCTTCTATCTGTGTCTGCATATATTTTCCATTAGAAAGATCAAAACTCTCCTATGTGTACAAATCCTAGCATTTGTTACGCATTCAAGTTAAAGTTTAAGGTGTACGTACTTCAACTTGATGTGGCACTGGGAATAAGTTGATAGCTTCCGGATTAAAACTGAATCCGCTGCAAACAAAAAGGAAAGGCGTGAGAGGAATGTGATCGGTGGTCGTGGTTACAGTTAGATGACAAAGTAGAGAGGGGGAAAGAGATATAAAGTTTGTTTTATTTTGGGTTTTGGTTACCATCGGGAAAAAGCTAGCTGCCAAACGTATGGAATAAAGAACTCTTCCGGGTGGCTCTCTTGTTCATATGAGAAGTGAAGTTGAGTAAACATCTGCGGGTAACGGATATGAGATTTAAGAATTAATGGCGAAAGAAAAAAAAAACGATTAAAATGTTTCAGTGATGATATAAAACTGGAGAGGTTTGTTTACCTTCATCCCTTCGCCTCGCCAAGACCGGCAATTGTTGATGATGAATTGAAGAACTTTCTGCACTGACCATTCTCGATCCGATCTTTGAGAGTCCATGCGGCTATTGAAAAAGTCTAGGACCTGAAATATGAAATGATGGTCAGTAAGGTAAGTGAGAAATATATACATCAATCAGAAACTCTCTTCTTTTCTGAAGTTTTGAAAATTTAAAGCCTATGGAATGGAGCATACTGTGTAAATATTCTCGACTAACTCATGGAAACGCGGATGATTCTTGAAAGGTTCAAACACTTCTTGCCGATGCATAATTGCATAGACAATCTGCAGAAACCAGAATCACAGACTGATTCAGACCAGCAAAAACCAGAAAAGAATTATGTGATTCATGCTGCCAAGTAGAGATGACGATGTGATACCTCGGGATTTCTTGGCAACGCGTACGTCAAAATCGCATTTAATATATCTAGGACAAGTCTCAGGAAATCAGTAAAGATCTGCAACTCTGCTGCCTGAAATTGGCAAAATACATGTCAGAAATATACCAGAAATCAAAGGAATATCAACATATTGTGTGCTTGAACTAACTATGTCATACCATATCTTCTGAAACCCCATCATCCTCTCCTGACAAGTTTATTTTGATACTTTTCAGCTTATCACCGGTCAAGTCCGACAACTTGTTATACCTGTGTTCAACAATTCGTTTTCAGTTAAATAGGAACCATAATGAGCATGATACTATACAAAACAGAGAGAAATTTTGTAAAAGTCAAAAGACGTTGAAATAATTGCATACTTTCGAGAAAGCATGTAGAAAAGGCTGACAAGCCTCTGTGAGGCATATGCGCTTAAATGATGGGCATGAGGTGCCATGTTAGCCAAGGTAGCAAGACAAGTAGTCTGCAGATACACATCCTGCAACAGACAAAGATACAAAATTTGTCACAAAAGTTCATTCTACTCTATATAAACCACAATCCTTATTTTCCCCAACTAAATGGCCTTTTATATCTTAAGGGTCCAATGTCTGATATATCTTCAAACAGGTTGCCGTTTCCAATATCTTTTCTGTCGTCAGAAGAATTTGATATTTGGCTAAGGAGTTAACTTGACATCACTCTTTTATAGCTGTGGCTACCCAGACGCCCAAACTAAGAAGTCTATATCTGAAACACATTTCATTGCAAAGATATGAACCTAAAGCCATACCCGAAGTTTTGAAAGGTTATGCTGCACTGTCMTTATGAGAATAATGACCATTAAGGAACCAAGAGACGTCTGATGAAGGAGATGCTCCTTGTACCATGGAACGCTAGGCAGTATCTATTCAAATGAATCATAATCAGGAAAAAACAAAAAAAAATGAAGTTGAGGAAAATCATTTCAATCCTCCAATTGGAAACAGCACGTACCATCTTATGAATGCTTGAATTGAAAGATGAGTCCTGACTAAGTATGAGAAGTACAATTAGCATCATGTATATTTGATTGGAGGATGTTCTCTTTGAAGCGTTATACAGCGTTTCCAGAATAGGCATCAACTGTCCATCAAAAAATATATAATTATAAACCATAGATCGTTGATATGAAACCACAAGGACTTTACCTCAACAAATCAAGTAGTCCAAGGTGAATAAAACTGAGGAAAGAATTTCTAGTTTTGAGGATAATGGAACAAAAGAAATGAAACAGACACATGGAACTTATTGAGTGGCAGTTTATGAATCATACCATAGTATCCAGATCAGTTCGCACCAGAACATACTCTTTAAAGTCGGAGTTCCCTTGCAACAATGAGTAGAGGAGTAAGACAGCGCCCTCATCAGCCAAACACCTATATTGCCAAATTGCATTATTACCCAGTAGCAAAGAACTTACTGAAATAAGATTATGATACAGGATACATCTCTATGAAACCAAAAACAAGCTACTGTAGAGAAAAAGCTTGATCAAATACAACTTACATGCCAAGAGTATCAAATAACGAAGCAAATGGTATACGAACATGTGGACCTGGGTGGGCATTTCCCTCCCCATCGGAGCGATCAACTGCAATCAGGGTAACAGTTTAGATATACACATAGGACTCGCCCTCTCAGAAAGATGAAGGAAAAAAAACAAATCTCACATTCGACATCTCTAGCATTTGCTAGAGCCTTGCTAAAACTATTGCCAGAGGAAAATGCATGCACTTTAGAAACTGATTCTGAAGCAGCACTGTCATCACTTTTATCCGTCATAGACTCATCACTCATGATAGACTTGTGGTAGTTAGTGAGGATAAGCAAAACATGAAGGCTGCACTCTGCTAGTGGACTTTTTGATCCATCACCACTGTTATTTACAAGATAGTTTAAAGGCAAGAGCACATATGTCGCTGCATATGCAAAAGAAAAGTTTTCATGAATATGTGGAATGTTTCACAAAGCCAAGTAGGAAAACATAATGCAATGGAAAGGCTTTTGAAAAAGGTCAACATGGAGAAGTTAGTACAATAAAACAGCGTGTATGAAGTATTATGAACACCTACCAGCTGCAGAACCAACTCTTTCCAAAATGCCTGGTGAATCTCCATCAGAATACAAATAGGCTTTTGCATTTGGAGGAGTACGGTGTCGGGAAATATAATTAAGTAGGAATCTTCTGACCGCCATACAAACTAGAGACTTTTCCTGAAAATTGTTGAAGCAAGTAAGGGGAAAAGAATTGATTGGGGGAAAAATCTATACAAAAGACGAAGAAAATCTACTTAAATGTGTTACCTGAGCCATTGCTGCATCAATAAAAGGGTTTGCATCTCTTGGTCCAGGTGATGGTCCAGAGAGAAGCTGTGTCGACATTGTAACAAGCATGAAGTTCAGAAGTTCCCGATGTAGAACATACGAGTTGGGACTTGCCAAATAAATGATGCAAATCAGGAGAAAATTTAATACTGAAACGTATAAGGATAAATCAAATATAGAATAAGCATGGCTTACCTCACTTCAGCTGATCCAATGAAGCTCAGCACACTATGCATGACAAAATTCTGGATGTCTTGATCTGCCATTAATACAATCTTAATAAGCCAACTCAAGCCAGATTAGAATTACCTTTAACATTGAAATTAAGTTAAAACTGAATAGAGAGCCACATTACCCATCACAAAGCCATGCGGAACTGGCTCACTTTCGTCCAGAGAGAGATGCAACTCCTCGAGGCTATCACTTTTTCTATTCTCGATCAAATGCTTTAGAAACACGGACGAAATATACGTTGCATTAACAGCTTTCTTGTAGATTGAAGACTCAGAATCAGAAGCTTGCAGAAGCTCTTGCAAACACCATGATAGATGAATCAATAGTTTTGCAAGGTGCCTAGTGTAGCCATTGCTTTGTGCTGCAAAAGGCCCCAAACAAAAAAAAATCATCAATCAAAGTATCCTCTTAATTTCACTAGGTCGTCACTACATACAAATTTCGCTTGCTCATAGTAAATTCAACAACACATCCTTCATAATCCTAACCCATATACAGAATCACACTCAAGCATCCAATAATTGGACAAGAAATCGAAATTGGCCGGAAAATCCTCACAACGTTTTTTCAATTTCATTTGCGGAAGAGCAAATTCCATGGAAAATACAACGAAATAGACTAACGAAACAGTAGAATTCAACACATTGTGCATGAGAATCACTAACCGAAAAGTTCACAGGCTTGATGAACCCGATCACTAGGCCAACGGGAACTCAACGGAAGCTCAAGTAGCTTGTTCCAGAAATCAGACGCCAAGGGAAACGATTTCTCACCGACAAAAGTCGCAATGAGGTACTCCGCCACAGCAACATCATCACCACCGGTGTTTCGCGGCGTTGAAGGCGCACCTCCCATGTCCGGTGACAGACCGACCTCGCCGAGTCAACAAGGATCCAAAATAGAGCGAGTCAATCGATCGCGTACTCCGAGTCGGTTCCACTTAAGATCAACAGCATTACAGACTAAGAAATGAACAATGCAAAGATCTTGCTCTGATCTCTTCTCTGGATCTGAATCTGAGAGAAACTGAAGATTCAAATTGAAAACGAAATGCTTCGATACCAAAGGGTTTAGAGAGAGAGAGAGAAAAGACGCGTTATTTTTAATTTCTTTCTTTTTTCTAGTCTCCTTTTTAATGTTAAATTAGCTATTGGTGTCGTGATTTGTACAAACGAACCAAGTAAACCGGTCTTCTCTACAGTAATTATTTTATTTTTATTTGTTTTCCCTTAAAAACTTTTTCCTTTTCAAACACAATTTCCTTGAAATTTAATGAAGAAGAAAACAATAAGAAATTTAAATCAAAATCAAAATCAAATTCCACTGTAATCACCACGCGCACCACCGTCGAGCATCGGTCCATAAGGAGATTCAGAATCGTCCGTCACAAGATCCTCCGTTCCTCTTAGCGATGCGTGAATTAACAAAATCAGAACGCCGAATCCAACGGTTGTGAGAGCTCTTAGCCAAACTCCGGTACTAACTAGCGACGCGATCGTGAGGCCGATCAGAAGCACCGCCACTACTCCGTCGTCGACGGTGAAACCGAAGATCGTGAGTGGCTCCTCGCGGGCGAAATAGAGGAAGAACCAAGCTAATCCGACGGCGACGAAAGCGAGGATAGCAATCGGGCGTGTGATTAGGGTTAAAGCTAAGAGGATAGAGAGAATGAGTGTGTAGTTGATGCGGAAGTGAGTCAAGTTCTGAGTTAAGCGACTTGTTGCATCGGCTACGGAGGAAGGGAAGCTAAAAGCGGAAAAGTCGAGGAAATCGTTCCATGGACGAGCTGCTCCGGTGATCGATTGAGCTGTTTCCTTGATTCCGGAGATCACTTGATTCGCCATTGTCGATTTAGAAATTCTCAGGCAAACACCAAGAAGAAGGAAGACCTTTGTGTAGGAATCAAGTCAAAACTGGTTTATGAGAGATTTATAACTGAAAAAGGCCCAATCCTAATTACTGAAAAAGCCCGTTTAGCTATGGCGTATATAATTTTATGTTTACTAATCGTAACGTAATTTATGTAGGTTATTTAAAAAAATGACAATGTCATAAGATCTTCACTGTGGTTACAATTTCTACTTTGTATTGTGTTTTCCTAATTACTTTGGTCGTTAAGAGCAAGCATAGGTGTATCACTTTGGTCTTCCCTGTGAAATTTTTCTTTTTCAATGCAAAAACTTGAAAATTTCGTCGTTATAAACTAGATAAATTATTCTTCATTTCTTAGCTAACATGACTATAAAAGTAAATTCATCCCAATTTACCAAAACCAAATTACGAACAACAAATATAAAGAAATAGCAAAATGATTTAATTTAGGTGTTCCTCAGGTCACAAGAGAAAGTATCTAAGGTAGTTCCATCATAAAGCATCACAAACAAAAAGATCCACATACCACAAAGCAAAGCAAAGAGCATATAAAGATCGGATACATTCCACAAGTAAAAGCTCTTCACTTAAGAGGAATGAATCTGGAAGAGTGGGTAGCACCAACTCCTGGCCTACCGTGCTTAACCGGCTTGTATGAGATAGAGAACTCAGCCAGGTAGTGACCAATCATCTCAGGCTTGATCTCGACTTGGTTAAAAGTCTTACCGTTGTACACTCCAATGATGCTTCCAATCATCTCAGGGACAATGATCATGTTCCTCAGGTGGGTTCTCACTGGTTCAGGCTTCTCACCTTGTGGTGCCTCCCTTTTCTATTTATCAACCAAAAGCAAATGTAATCAGACACTTAGTTGCACCCGAGGACTAATCTTGACAGTAAACATGAAAGATGATTGAGTGGTGACTAGCTAACAATGTCCAAGGAAATGGAAATGAAACTCTAATAATCACAGAGATGAGGCACGATAAGAAACTATTCATACTCAAACTCAAAAAATAGAGGAATCTTTTCATTAGACAAAGCCAGAAAGAGTCTATATACAACAAGGACTAGCTTATGATTATCACTCTAGCATTTAACTTCAGGATCTAATTCAACACATCACATGAACATCAAACATTTCCATCATCAGAATCTGAGATTTTAACCGTAAAAGTTCCATCAAAAAGGTCACAAATCAGATTCAATCAGCTAAGCTAACACACAGATTTATAACACCAAATACCATCTAAGACTAACTTGACTACAGTATTAGAAAGATAAGAGTCCAGAAATGATTACCGCTTTGCGAAGCTTCTTAATCAGAGCCATTGGCTTCCTAGTCAAACCTCTGCCGAACCTAAACCATTTTCACACATACCAAAAAATGTCAGAACGAACAGTACCATTTCATTTACAGAATCTAAAACTCATAGTGTTTGTTTACCTTCTGCGAATACGAGCAGGGAAGAGCTTAACAAGATCATCAGTAGACATGTCGAGAAGAGCATCGAGATCTACTCCTCTGAAGGCAAACTTCTTAAACGTCCTCTTCTTCGGGACTCCAGCAGCCGCAGCAACCTCTGGTTCAACATCCGCCTACAGATTTCACCATTGAAAGTTTTAGGATAATCGGAAAATGTAACCAG